CCGTGTTAAACAAATGGGGAATGGTGGCTTAGGGGCAACTCAGATTTTGGAATATCTATTCAGCAAAACATTTATTAAAAATACTTTTTACATGCTAAATGTCTCGCTTATGTTGTTAAAATTAGCGATACGGAGCGTTAAAGTAATTTTGACAACCTCACTGAACCACCTTTATTTCAATAAGAGGTTCATTAAAAAATTATTGAATTTGAAACCATTAATTTTGTAAAGCCTGGACAATTAAATCATATTTTTGTCGAGTAGACAATTTAGCAAATTTAATTATCTCTTACAATCTCAATTTTGAGAGCAATCGGATGGATGGATCGTTCCTGATATGACTTATGGCAACCCATTCATTCCCCATTTGTTTAACATGGGATCTGCCATTTTTGTTAAATTTCATGAAATTCATCAATTTTGACATCAAATTTTGACACAATGTAATGGAGATATAACATTGAAACGTTGCGAACTTTATAGTGAATAGAATCAAGATACAGATTTATTTTCTTTATTGGGATTTCTTTTGTTCACCGCTTAGAAAACAGTCGTTAAACAAATATGGGGGTTAACATGTAAACCTATGAGGTCCTTAACTTTTTTTGAGGAGTATATATCGGACTCAAGATATTATTTGATTTTTAAAATATGTTGACAGGGTTTTCATTAGCAGCAGGCAAGAGGCAATTTTCACCTGTTGTTTTCACAAAATCGCCTGTTGTTTTCAGGGATTTTTCAACTTTTCCATGTTAAATTTATGATACCATAAATTTTTCCTGTTATTTTCTTTTATTTAGCCTGTTGTGAGAAATTCTAGTGAAACCCCTGTGTTTATGTAATACTACAGTGTGTCTCAAAAAAAATGTTACACTCACGAAAAGTTCAATATCTTTCATAATTTTTATTTTTCCCTAAAACATACTTTGGATACCAAAAGACAAATCTTTCTCGAATAATTTGACACCATCAAATTCAAAATCTGTCATTGATTGGCTCCACATGACAGCTTTTAGTGTCCCATGGTAAAATCTGACTTGCGCCAACTTCTAAGTGATTGGATGGACCAAATGACAAAAGAGTAACAGTTTCTTTAATATTTAACTTTCTTCTGAGTAGAAGCTTGACCTTAAACTGAGTCATTATGTAATTTTCCTATTTGTCGCACATATGATCATTGGGTCTATCCACATAAACATGTTGTCCCTTCCAAAGCAAATCTGAGGTACACTTGCCCATGCACACATGAATTGTAATATCACTCTGATTCTATCAATTATTTTTGCAGAAGTTCGTATAGGTCAGTTTGTGATGCTGTAAACCGCTTTCAGAGGCCCTTCAAAAACTCAAGGGTGTAAAGTGGGATAACCTCGGGGGCCAATCCATTGGGTAATTCAATGCTATCTTCTGATTTCCAAAGATTTCTACCAAACGATCTGCCACAGGCCTTTGCACCATCCTGTTGCCATCATATGATCATACGTAACAAAATTGAACACTGACAATGAAATCTTGTATTTCTATCCAGGAAAGAAACAACTGGATCATCCAAAAAAGAATTGATCACCATATGTCCAGCCACTGAGAAATTGGCGCAAATCAGATTTCACATGCGTCTATAAAATCTGTCCTGTGCAGTCAATCTTGGACGGATTTTGAATCTGATGGTGTGACTTTATTCGAGAAAGACTGGTCTTATGGTATCTAATTATATTTTAGGGGAAAAGTCAAAATCATGAAGGATATTGAACTTTTTGTAAGTGTAACATTTTTTTGAGACACACTGTATAGAGTTCACATTAGCTTCGTCAGGTATCAAAATAATTTTATAACATGTTTGTACATACTAGGAATATTATTTGAGGTGTAACAAAAAATTGTTACAGACTGTAACATTTTTTTTATACCTCAATCAAACATTTAAACACTAATATATTCACTGTAACAGTGAATATCTTTCAGTGTTTGAATGTTTGATTTCTAAATTTTGTTATACGTACGTACATGCTATAAATAAAGTTAGAGATCCTACATATTGTGGATCAAAAAAATGTTTGCATGTGTACAAACTTGAAATAATACTGGGGCAATTCAGAATAATGCTAGAAATAAGACTAGAGCTCTTAACAGCTCCAAAATATTTTTAGCATGAACGCACATATAAGAATATTGCTCGGGCTATTAAGAAAATTCTTACTGCGATTTCCCTGAAATGTTTTACATGTACGTACATGAGAAAATGGATCTATATACTTAATCGGCTTCTGGGGTCTTTTCTTGGAACCCTTTAACTTCTTCATCTCTAAGGCCTCTTTGCCCTCCAGAAATGCCATAAGGTACTTGACCAGGGCTGCCTTGTTCTGGCTCAGGGATGCAGGAGTTGCACACTCTTTGTTGACAGATTCTACAATGTATGCAGCATACCCAAAGAATTCTTTACAAGCCACTTGAAGGTCTGGCCTCTGAAGGCAGCAAACTGTAACATGAAGTGAGGGAGCAAATCCCACTCTTCCTTCGCACCAGGTCCAGTTTTCTTTGCTTATGCCAGCACCTCAGCTAGGGCCATGGCCCTCCCAACAGGCTTCCTCGCCTTTTTGACTTGGGCAGCTTTTGCCATCTCGCTCAGACACAGCTTTCCACTCGATAGTCTCACGAAGAAGCTATTCTGAAACATACCCCCAGGTTATTTTTCTTATTTGTTATCATTTGAGGGCCAATTTTTTGCTAGACTCTATCACTAAACTGCTAAATGTCAAGAATAAGAAAAAGGCTAAATAAAGAGAAAAATAAACATCAAAACTACGACTCGAAACCCGCATATATATTTTCTGAAAAAATGAAAGAATGTTTCCTGCTACAATGAATCTGTCTATACCCTCTCAGTTCGTCAGAAATCGCCGATGAGTTTTCAAAGTACCAGTAGATCTAAAAAATCAGTTTTTTGAAATATTTCAAAATTCGATCGATCATTTCCACAGGCACCAGTATCGCCACCTTTTAGCAGTTGGATTAGAACGATCTAAGCCCTTTAAAATACCTTTAAAATAACCAAGGATAATAAAAAGCTGGTATATGAATCCCAACACACATTTGAAATTTCGGGAAAAATCGTGCATTTTTTGTCCATCGACGTTTAAACTCTCCACATTTCTTCAAGACATATGGAGTCGCTAGAAACAAGTGAAAAGTGTGACTATCCATTGCTACATAGTGGTGTTTAGCCAACTGAAGTGGGCAGTTAATCAATGCGACATTCCTCGTCCAATCCGTTAAAATACCAAAATTCTTTGCTCACCTTCTCTGCCTATATCTCTACATTCCCTCGGATAATTAATATATATATAGATGCTTAAGCCATTTATGAATATGTTTAACTTATTAAATTCTATTTTAATTACTATATTGCGACAAAAACGATGAATTTCTAAACAGTTTGTTATGAATTGCTCTATTTTCTATAAACCGGAAATTAATGTTTACGGGCTGAATGATTTTTTCAAGGTATGAGGTTCCATATCCATCCGCCAAAAGGTATGACCCCTATATACTCCATTTAAAAACTCGTGGTATTGTTCTAAATAACGCCATAGTTGGCTTCTAGGGTACCTAGTATGCCACTATTTGGTATTAGTAGATGGGTTAACTGCATTTTAGGGGGTCTGGACTTCAATCTATGATGCAAACGTTTCCTTTGACATGAGAGTACCTTAGGACCATAGAAACAAATTTTTCCAAAGACACACGCCAGATGGCGCTTTATATTGGAAATATTCACGTTTTTCAAAATGGCCGCCAAAAATACAACGGAGACAATATATTTTCTCCTATACATACTATAATGATACGATTGGTGCCTAAATATACATTTTGTGGGTGAAGAATCAATTAAGTATGGGTTTGAGTCTTGAAAATTAGGAACTTCCTCTTTATATAAAAAAATTATGCCTTTTTCAAAATGGCTGCCAGAGATGTAACAGAGATGCTATCTTCACTTGTATGCACGTTACAATAGTAAGATTGATGTCCAAGTATACATTAATAGGTGGTAGAATTCATTTGACAATGTTTATAGTCTTTATTTTCCCAATGAAGAAAGTTCAGTAGGGATATAGTGAAGCTCTCCGTCTGTCAGTCTGTCAGTTCATCGTCTGTCTTGTGTATGATTTTGCAATTATTGTCAGATTCCTTCAAAGTATGGCCATTCGTATGTACTCAATTAAATTGAAGATGGTGTTAGTTTTATGATTAATGCCTCAGAAAATTCAAAATGTCCCAGAGAAGGAGTTGATTAGATATTACTTACTAGATATGTCGTCAAGGTATGGTTACATTATATTAAGTTAGATCTCAATTTTTTATTGTCTAAATATAATTTTTAGCATTGACTAAATGGTCACCAAAATGTTTAAATCAGCGGAAATTTTGATATTGTACTGCATGTCTATTAGTTATCTAACATTTTCACATTTTATTGAAAATGTATGTATTTTTTCAATGGCTGTGGAAAATATTACAAAAAATTATATCTAACAAGGGCTCTTAAACTTCTTCAAAAGTAGAATGGTTTGAAAGTGTAGTTTTGAATATCAATTTGCAATGATGAAACTATGCTGAAAACAATGGATAGCATGGGAGATGTGGTTTTCAACTTCAGCGCATTTCAAATACCGTCCCCTTTTAAGTAATTGTTGATATAAAGTGAGGCAACTTTTGATATGTTTTAATTGAGAGAAACAAGATCTTTTTTTACAAAATAAGCTCAACATTTAAAAAAGTGCCAAGGTGGGATCCTAATCCATAATTTTCCAGAAAGTTGGATTCATGTTTTACAATCATGGGGACTTCACTTGGAATAAAACACATTGTTTTAATAATAAACATTGTATTTATTTTTTTTTTTTTTTTTTTTTTATTTTTTTTTTTTTTTTTAATATTTATTCACATTTAGTAATCACTTACAATTACATATAGTATGTATTTCATTACATTTAATTCATATATACCCATATATACCTCAATGCAGATTCATTTTAAATGATTGATTTTTTATTTTTTGATTTAATATTATTGCTATTAATCTCTTTTATTATTATTATCTTTTTATTAGAAGCATACCACATATAATCTTTATATTCTCATTCATCCATGTATCCATCCATTCATTCATTCATTCATTCACTCACTCCATCAATCCATCATTCACTCACCCACTCATTTTCATTCATTTACTCATTTATTCAACATCATTCATCTGGGTTGCATTTAAATTATCTCACCACAAAAATACTAATTCAAAACATTTTATTATAAAAGTTAGACCAAACTTCATTTTTATTTACATTTTTAGTTTCTACATATAATTTGAAGTGCTCAATAAACTGATAATATGATGGCTCTAAGTTTTCAAGAAAACTGGTATATAAAGCATGTTTCATTATTAATATAGCTGCATTAAAAATGATATAACCATCATCCTTTGGTTTATGTCCGTACAAAATGTCATTCTCTGTTATTTTTATCTTATATCCAGCTTTTTCCATATATGTACTAAATCTAGTCCATATTTCATTATTTTTCTCACATTCCCACAGCATGTGTTTGATCGTATGTCTCATATTACAATTTGGGCATTTGTTAGATTCTTTTATGTTCATCTTTTGTAATTTCTCATTACATATTAAGATATTATGTAACACTTTATATTGAAAAATCCATAATCTTGTTTCATCAACTACTTTTCTTGGAAGTAAAAATATATCCTTAATTTGTTCCTCATTAAAAGTTTCCTCTAATTTTGTTATTCCTGCATTTTTTTCAAATTCTCTTTTGTTTAATATTTTGTTTGCTTCTTTACTATTTAAATTTATTGATCTTTTTGCTTTGTTTATGATTTCATTATTATTGTTGTCTGCATTAAATTGATTCAGTTTCCTTTTCCATGTTCTTGGAATGGCGGATATAATAGAATTAAAGTCCATTACTTTAGGTATAAAATTATATTTTTCTGATAACCTCTCTATAGTGTAAAAATGTCCCTCGCTGTCTAGCAAATTTTTTAATTTAAACATTGTATTTATGGCCAGGAAGTACTCATGGTGAAAGACATATTGCCGTTTAAAATCTTAAAATTTTAATCTCTTAAATGTTCAAATGAGAAAATAAGAATATTTTTCTCAATATGACAATATTCAGTGCTGTATGTGTGTACATACATGTCTTTTTCAAAACGGTTGCCAATCAACAACAAGCTTAATAGATTGTTGGTTGGATTAGTGGAAGACTCGGTAAACAGAGACATCGTCCATGATTTGGTCAGAGGAGATGAAGAGGGTTCTGCAATACTGTCATAATATGCAGCCCTTGAAATCTATTCCGATCTTCAAGATTTTCTCTCGCCAGAAGGTTTCTGGCCCTTTCTAATTATAGGTACATATGTACACTGTATGTCTGTCCTGCGTGGTTTCTATCTAACACATTTCTCTCTTATGTATGTTGCATTGCAATAACTAAAGTTGCACTACCATTGCAGATGCATGTTTATTGCAAGTTATTAAAGAGACACTGGTCTTTCTGGTGAATTTGAGTAAAAAGAACATTGAAAGATAAATAGACATTTGCTGTGTTAAGGCGAAAACGATTATTTTTAAGGCTCATAATCAAATTTGCTAGATGCGAGTAGTAACAATCTTTATTTTTGTCATTAAAAATTCAAGATTCAGTCTAACTGATGTTGAATTTGGAATCGTCATAAAAATACATCAAGAAATGTGGTTTTGAAATTAGCGAGTCCATCAACTTTAAAATTGAATTTTCTTCGAAAATGTGACATTAAGGTCAGGGAGATTCCCCATAGTCCCCATGTTGTAAAATACAAAAAGTGAAATATCTTTTCTTGTGTTGTGCAGTTAATATTTTCTTTAACTGGAGATATGTTAATTTGTACAACTATCAGATACAAAAGAGTAATATGAAATGTGAACCACTAAAAATTAAGAATATTCAAGTTTAAGGGAACTTTAATACCCTGCAATGTTATTTCACCCGAAATAACATCCTGGCGGGGAAAATGGTAACTACCTACTTGCATCTGCGTAATTAAATAGATTTTACATTCCCCAAAATGTAGATTTTGAAGCCAATTTTATGAAATAGTATGCCCAGAAGTAAAGAAACTTTTAGCAAAGATACAATGTTGTTAGCAAAGATACAATTTTTGTTAGCAAAGGTACAATCTTTGTTAGCAAAGATACAATCTTTGTTATATTTTCAGCTGCATACATTTCCAATATAAAGTGAAAACTATAATCTCACAAGACTTAATAAAATTGATTCTCCAACCCCATAAATACAAAATTTTGACACCAATCGTATCATTGTAGCATGCACTTATGTGAAGATATCATCATTGTTATATTTCTGATGGCCATTTTTAAAAACGCATAATTTCCTATAAAGTGAAAGTTCTTATTATGAATGGATTCTACAACCCAATATTATGTATACTTTGACACCACTCTTATCATTGTAGCTTGCTTAGAAGCGAAGATATCTTCTTTGTTATATTTCTGGCAGCCATTTTGAAAAATGCATATATTTTGAATATAAAGTGCAAGTGCTGAATTTACAAGACTCGAATCCTAATTAAATAGATTCTACAACGACATTAATGTATTGTTTACACCACTCTTATAATTGGAGCATGCACAGAAGCAAAACTATTTTCTCCGATGTATTTTGGCGGCCATTTTGAAAAATGTGTATTTTTCAAATATAAAGCGCCATCTAGCTTGTGTCTTTGGATTAATTTCTTTCTATTGACCTAAGGTATGTCCATGCCAAATGGGACATTTTGTAAGGAAAGTTATCTTAATCTGTAAGTAATCGTAATTCAAGGTATCTTCTTTGTTATATTTCTGGCAGTTATTTTGAAAAACGCGTGTATTTTGAATATAAAGTGGAAGTTCTTAATTTTCAAGACTCAAGATCTAATAAAATAGATTCTACAACTACATCGCTGTATTTTTTGACACCAATCTTGTAATTGTAGCATGCACAGAATCAAAGATATTGTCTCTGATGAATTTTTGGCGGCCATTTTGAAAAATGTGTATATTTCCAATATAAAGCGCCATCTAGCTTGTGTCTTTGGATAAATTTATTTCTATTGTCCTAAGGTACTTCCATGCCAAATGGGACATTTGCATCATACAATGAAGTCCAAATGTAGTTAACCCATCTACTATATCATAATAAAGAGGATGAGTTCAACTTTCATTTGAATTACGAAAATAGCGATGTAGGTCAAAACTAGTTCCGACGTGAGTATGTTTACTACGCGTTTGCCCATCATATCAGAATTGAGGAAGTGGTAGCAAACGCGAGTCACAATAAATGGACGCTGATATCTCAAAAAGTAACCTGACTCTCTATAATTTGATGTAGATCAATCGAACCCCTATATGAACAGGTACATTTTGATATATAACACTATTGGGGGGGGGTAAGCGTTTTATAGTTGGTCACGAACGCCATATGTGCAAAGTATTGTTATGAATTTTCGAATTTGGTGTTGGATTACGGTACTCATACCTCAACAATTATTCATATTATTACAACGATTCAATTTCATAAAAAAAAATCAACACTTATTGTATTATATATCATATTTTTTATGTTCACTTATTACATAAACAACTCTTGATACGCATTTTAGCAATAAAATATTCGATATAATTCTAGGAATTCTAACTAGGTCACCCAGCCTCGTTCTCACTTCAGTTTTAAATATTTTCAACTTTCAACATCAAATGCTAGAATATCTCCAATTGCAATGTTTAGTCGAACTAAAACACACTAATTAAGTAACAGCTACATTCCTTAGTAGTAGCTTCAATATCACTGCAATTGACAGATCGATACTTGCACAGAAACTAGTGATATACGGCACAAAAAGGTGAGCAATGAATTTTGATATTTTTCAATGGATTGGACGAGGAATGTCGCATGGATTAACTGCCCACTTCAGTTGGCTAAACATCACTATGTAGCAATAGATAGTCTCACTTTTCACTTGTTTCTAGCGACGCCATATGTCTTGAAGAAATGTGGAGAGTTTCAACGTCGATGGACAAAAAATGCACGATTTTTTCCGAAATTTCAAATGTGTGTTGGGATTCATATACCAGCTTTTTATTATCCTTGGTTATTTTAAAGGTATTTTAAAGGGCTTAGATCGTTCTAATCCGACTGCTAAAAGGTGGCGATACTGGTGCCTGTGATCATTTCGTAGAGAAATACTTTGATTTTAGAGTGGAAACTTACCAATTCTCGTCTCTGGGTATATATTCTTCAAAATATATCATGGTTTTGCTATGAAAAGCAGTTATCACGGAGTAAATCCAACTCAAAGGACGCATTCTCTTCATTTCAAACTAGTTGAAAACGAAGATGGCTGAACTATGAAGTGACAAGTTAGAGTAGAAGGGGTCTTTTGACTTTTGGTATTTTAGGCCAGTGATAAAAATAACTGATTTTTATGTGTTTAACATTTACTAAGTACAAAATACGAGGTATATCATTCTAATTAAGCACATTTTTCTATTTCTTAGCCTCATTAAACACTTATTTCGATTGGAATGCCCTTAAACCCTGCTGCACCCTGGTTTGAGAAACAAAGATCTAAATAAGGCCAAAGAGCACCCGGGTTCACTGTTAAACCTCCTGCTCACTGTAGTATGAATCATGAATGTACTTTCACACAGGGTTTAACAGAAAGAAACAGTGAACCCTGGTCTAACGAATCCGTGTTTCCGGGGTTCGCCTAGCATGCCTTCGACTCTCTCGGATTTCCCGCCGTTGATGACGAGGTTGCATGTATTAGCGGGACCGATAGTGCTGAAGGGGCCTCTAGTTTTTCACCCAAGATGTTGACCGCCTTAGTTAAAGTCTCTACAGTCTCTTTGAGGTCACTATTATTTTTTTTGTCTTATTGGAGCTATCTGTCGTTTTCGCGTATGGCTTCTCCGCAGTTTTCTTTTTTGTTTGTTTTGATTTTACTATGGTTCAGACACAGTATTGCGTGCGACTAATAAAATCAAAGTTCACTTGACATGAGGGCGGAGCTTGTGGACCTGTATGTATATTTTAAAAGCTTCCTATTAACGATGCTTAACAAATTAAACACACATTTATCTCGGTTTTTATCTATTTTGGGGGGATTTTGTTTTAATTTTTTGAATACTTTTTTAAAATTAGCCAAAAATTATTTTGTATAACTATGATATTGAGAGGCCTAAAAACATGTTGTGCTATTTTGTTCCAACATTTTATTATATTGTCAAGAATTGGTAGAAAGGAGCAAAAACAATTGCACTAAAAAACAAAAAATGTTAACAAAAACATTTATATAAAATATTTCTAAATAATGAAATACCGTGTTTTTACAGAATGTTTTCAATGATTGGTTTAATAGAAAAACATTGTTGAATTCAGTTCTCCATATCGATACAACTCCTTTAAAAAAGCATTGCACTGGCCAGGAATCGAATCATAGCCAGCTGCATGACAGTTGAGCATACATGTACTACCACTGAACCACCAGTGCCTTAAGGTTAAACTAAATTTTGATTCATGAATATTGTAATTCATCTTATGTCAGTTTTTGAAATAGAAAAACATTGCACTGGCCAGGAATCGAATCATAACCAGCTGCATGACAGGCGAGCATATATATATAGTCCATTTAAAACTCGTGGTATTGTTCTAAATAACGCCATAGTTGGCTTCTAGGGTACCTAGTATGCCACTATTTGGTATCAAAATAAAGAGGAGGAGTTCAACTTTCATTTGAATTACGAAAATAGCGATGTAGGTCAAAACTAGTTCCGACGTGAGTATGTTTACTACGCGTTTGCCCATCATATCAGAATTGAGGAAGTGGTAGCAAACGCGAGTCACAATAAATGGACGCTGATATC